CAACGTGTAGACAAGATAATTTGTCATATATTTTATAGTGATGCAGTGATGTGTGCTGAAAAAAGGAGAATATGCTGTACCTTTTTTCAGAGCAGCGTGTTGTGATGCAGTACAATGAATCGTAGCTGACTGTGGTGAATAAAGATGAATGAAATGTCACCTTGTGACATTTCAATAAAGTTAAAAAGTAAACCATGCAGTGCATCCCTTACGACGCATTAGCACTCCCTTCTCAGTGCACACCAGCGGCTCTGCTGTGAATGAGCCCTTAGTCTTTAAGAAACAGCACTTGTTTCTGTATAAAGTGGAACTTCACTCTCTCAACATTGCCTGTTTTGAACCTTTATGCTGCTAACATTATAAAATAGAGAGGAAAGTATATCATATTTACTTGTTTTAAACTGTTTTTGTGCATTTCTTCAGTTACTTTCTTGTTTCCATGCCTAGAAAAATTACGTCATACATCCCAGGAGTCTTCAGGAGGGGAGGATGGGCTTTCTCAGCTAAGCACATCCTCCTGCCTGCATGCCTGAGCTAAGGGCAGATGGACTCCAGGAAGTAAACGGTACAGGAATCATCTGCCCTTACTCAAGTTGGCCACTGCCAGAAATGCTAAATGGCATTTTTGTAAGTGATTTTCTCAGCAAAATAAAGCCTGGAGACATGGATGGATGGATGAATATGCGTTGAATATTAAAAATTATTATTATTATTATACGGTATTTATATAGCGCCAAAAAGTTTGCTCAGTGCTGAACATTATAGTGGGAGACAGTACATGAGGCAATACAATTAAAAATTAAAATAAATAGCGTTTTTGGTTTGTGGTGATCAGATACAGTGTAGTTCCGCTTAAGCAGTCAGGAATGTATCAGACCTGTAAAGTAATGTACTATTCCTGTTGCTCATCATCAGTGTTTATATGTCCATGTAAAAGACTTGAGAGCTGAGATACTACTCTCTTGATTGCTGTGTAACTTCCTGCATATACTGTGTGTGACCTTTGGTCAGACTGCTGGTGGAAGGGCCCTGCACCCTTCTGCTTTCAGACCAATAGCTTCCTGTGTGACCATGCAATACATTTCAGAAATTCACCTTGCGCAAGCTCACATTAAAAAAAAATTAAATAAAAAAACAGGCCTGTCTAAGTTAAAGTGACACTAAACTCTGATTTTATAAAAAGAAAGTTCTATTCAAGTTTGTATTCTTAACTCAGAAAAGTACCTTCTGTCGCTGTCAGCCTCCTCCAGATCCTCAAATTCCTCTTATTTCTTTGCTACTGTGATCCGACTTCCTGCTAAAGCTTTTTTTTTTTTTTTTTTTTAAGAAGGTTTGCTACCACTTTAAATATTTGATGTGTATGGATTCTTTTTGGAAAATAAAAATATTTAGAGCCACTTAAAAGACAGGATACTGCTTTAAATTGAGGACCTGGCTGCAGATATATTTTTGTGTGTGCATGCATGCTAGGTGATGTGTAACATACTGTATATTTATGACCTCTCTTGCTATTTGCTATTGAGGTCTACTAGTAATTGATCGACCATTGATTAAAGCTGGACGCCATATAAACAGCTAAACGCGCAGTCAGAATGTTTGCTGTCTTTCTTGCAAAACTTCTTTTCATCAAGTCTTGTGATTTACATTCCTCTACCACACTGCGGAGCTAGGCAGGTGACGCCCATTACCTGGTTCATCCATACAGCGTCCTATTTCTCATGTCTGAGCATTGGACATTGACCCGGTATCTCCCACTTCATCTAGCAGGGAGATGATTCGGGAAACTGTAAACCTGAACCAGAACAAAACATTCTAATATTGATTGTTTTGCCTGTGCAGTATTGTGGAGGTGTGTAAAATACAGGAGTGGCTCTAACAAAATGACAAAACCCTTGGCAGCTACAAAAGTACATGTACAGTGGGTAAAACTGGTATTGAACACGTTACCATTTTTCTCAGAAAATATATTTTTGAGCATGGGTTCACACATATGCGGTGCGGTATATCGCATGTGATTCGCACATGAACCACACAGCATTCCTGCGCAAATCACGTGCGAGATGAGTGCGGTGTGATTGGAGCCATACATTTTGTATGGCTCTAATCGCACCGCACCCGCACCAAAAAGGTGCAGGACCCTTTTTTTGGTCCACACTAGAATCAGATCACATGGGTATTCACACCTATGTGATCCAATTCTGCACATCACACCACTTTTGCAGACTGCTTTCGGGTGTTGTTAACTTAACATACACCCCCACAGCGGTTCGCATGAACCAGGTGCAATTCTGATGCGGTGTGGAATTCGTACAGAAAACGTTGCGAATTCCGCACCGCAGCAAGTGTGCACCAGGGTTATAGGTGCTATTCACATGAAATTTTCACCACATGTGGGGAACAACCCATGCAGTCCATACATACAGAAAACAAGAAATCAAAACAAATAAGTACAGAAATTAAATTATGTGTAAAATAATGGAATGGCATAGGGAAAAAGTATTGAACACACTTATTAAATTTTATTTAATACTTTGTACAAAATCTTTTGTTGGTAATGACAGCTTCAAGACGCCTCCTGTATGGAGAAACTAGTTGCATGCATTGCTCAGTTGTGATTTTGGCCCATTCTTCCACACAAACAGTCTTCAAATCTTGAAGGTTCCGTGGGCCTCTTCTATTCTGCCATTCTGGCAGCTTTATTTTCTGTCTTTGAAACCAATTGAGAGTTTCCTTGGCTTTGTGTTTGGGATCCTTGTCTTGCTAAAATGTCTACCCTCGTTTCATCTTCATCATCCTGGTAGATGGCAGCAGATCTTTATCAAGAATGTCTTGGTACATTTTTCTATTCATTCTTCCTTCAAGAATATGAAGTTTGCCAGTACCATATGCTGAAAAATCCCTACACCATGATGTTCCCATGTTCCCAAACTTCACTGTTGGTATGGTGATTTTGGGGTGATGTGCAGTGCCATTTGACCTCCAAATATGGTGTATATTATGACATCCAAAGTGTTCAATTTTGTCTCATCTGATCAGACTATATTCTCCCAGTATTTCACAGGCTTGTCTAAATGTTGTGCAACTTTAAATGAGCTTCAACATGCTTTTTTTCAGCAATGGAGTCTTGTGTAGTGAGCGTGCATACAGGCCATGGCGGTTGAGTGCATTACTTATTGTTTTCTTTGAAGCTCTCTACAAGTGGTCGTTGGCTCTTGGACAACTGTTCTGATAATTCTTTTCACTCCTCTATCAGAAATCTTGCAAGGAGCACCTGGTCGTGGTCGGTTTATGGTGAAATTATGTTCTTTCCACTTACGGATTATGGCCCCAACAGTGTTCACTGGACTATTCAGAGGTTTAGAAATCCTTCTGTAACTAATGCCATCTGTTCGTTTTACAACAATAAGGTTGCAAAGGTCTTGAAAGCTCTTTGCTTTTTGTGTGACACCTTGGTAATGAGACCTTTTTATTGGCCATCAGTTGAGACTGAACCTGCAGATATTAATTTGCACTGAAAAGGAGCAGGACCGCTTTTTAATTACAGATAGATTTCAGCTGGTGTCTTGGCTTTCCATGCCTTTTTGCACCTCCCCTTTCTTCATGTGTTCAGTGCTTTTTCCCTGTGTCATTCCATTTGATTACACATAACTTTATTTCTGAACTTATGGATTGGATGGGTTGTCACCAACATGTGGGGAAAATTTCACGTCAATAGCGCCTTTAGAAATATAAAAACTGTGACGTGTTCAATACTTACTTTACCCGCTGCATATGAATTTCAACCATGTATTATTATTATACAGGATATATGTATTTAATACTTATCACTAGTAATATTAATCAATGCTATTTAAAGGCTTGTTCACACCATGTGTGTGTAGCTGTGTTTATCTGTATGGAATAAATGCAGGTGTAACAGAGGGCACATAAAAACAATAGCTTGCTGTGTGTCCTATTCATACCATACAGGTTGTGTATGCTTTGTAAAAATGCAGCATATATACATTTTTATGCAACGCAAATCAATATATGTCAACGCATCACAGCACACAACAAGGTGCTGCAGTGTACAGAGTTGAATGAAGTGTCATTTTGTGACACTTCAATAAAGTTAAAATAAAACATTGTATCGCACTTACCCCCTCACCATCAATACAAAGCATATTGCGAAAGGAATGTGGGAAGAGTGGATTGTGGATAACCTCAGTGTGGGCTGGACACGTTGGCGCACAGAGAGTATATTTGTAATGTGGGACAAGGGTAACCATAAGAAGGTAACAACGTTGTGCAGACTGTTCAAGGCAGTGTTGTTACCCTAAAACTGGAAATTAACTAGGGGATTGCTTGAAGTAAAGATTTATTCCTCCAAAATGCTATTTATCAATTCAACTTCAGTGCAAGATACTGTACACTATATAATGTAGAATAGCTTTATTGATTGGGTTTAGTATACTTTAACATTCCATCCCCCCCAGCATGCATGGGAAATCGTGCTATACGATGTGTGTGTGTGTGTATATGTATATGTATGTATGTATGTATATGTGTGTGTGTATATATATACTGTGTATATATATATATATATATATATATATTTATATATATTAAATAATTTGCCCAATGTTCCACTTTAAGCCTCATCCAAGTAGCTTCAGGTCTACAGACTAGTAGGTATGGAGGAATTAAAGCATCAAATGTAGGATAATTTTAGATATGTATACAATGCACTTTAACCACTAGCCTACAGGGCACTTATATTCCTGCCCAGGCTTTCCACTTTCACGCTGTTGCTATTTAGGTGAGAATTGCACGGTCATACAACACTGTACCGATATGACATTTTTATCATTTTTTTGTGACAGATAGAGCTTTATTTTGGTGCTATTTAATCACCTCTGGGTTTTTTTATTTTTTCTTAAACAAACCAAAAACCACTAAAAAAAAAAGATTTTTCTTAGTTTTTGTTATAACATTTAGTAAATAAGTGACTTTTCTCCTTCACTGATGTGCGCTAATGAGGCTTCACTGATGGGCACTGATAGGCTGCACTGATGGACACTGATAGGTGGCACTGATGGGCACTGATGAGGAGGCACTGGTAGGTGGCATTGACAGGCATCACTGACGGGCACTGAAAGGCAGCACTCATATATGGCAGTGATAGGCGGCACTGATAGGCGGCACTGACTGGCACTGTTAGGTGGCACTGACTGGCACTGTTAGGCGGCACTGACTGGCACTGATAGGTGGCACTGATGCACACTGATAGGCGGCACTGACTGGCACTGATAGGTGGCACTGATTGGCAGCACTGATAGGTGGCACTGACTGGCATTGATAGGTGGCACTGAAAGGCAGCTCAGATGGGCACTGATATGTGGCATTGATGTGGCACTGATGGGCACTGAAATGTGGCACTGATGTGGCACTGGCACGTGGCATGGATGAGCACAGAGCTGGCACTGATGGACACTGACAGGTGGCGCTGCTGGGGCTACACAGATCATCAGGGCACACTGATCATCAGTGCTCTGATGATCTGTGTAGATGTCCCCTCCAAGGAATGCCGATTACCGCTCTCCTCTCCTCACGAGCTGTCAGCGTGACAGCTCCTGAGGAGAGAAATGCCGATAACCAGCATTTCCCTGTTTACATGTGATCAGCTGCGATTGGACACAGCTGATCACATGACCGAGCCGACATCTATGGCTCTTTCCGTAGATCGGTGATCCGCTGTGTTCGAGGGACACAGCGCACCGCCGATCACAGCGCATGCCCTCCCAGAGCCGCACACGTGCGGTGAGAATGGGAGGACATCATATGACGTCCTCCCAGAACGAGAGTACCGCCTTGCTTCCGTCATATTACTATATGGTGGGCGGGAGGCGGTTAAACTGTATCTGTCACATAGTGGAGGCTGTTATATTGTCAGCAAGACCAGTACTCCACTCATCAGTATATGGGGGATTAGTATTTTACAGATGAAAAAAACATGCAATACTTTGTGGCAGGGTAATGTTACGCCCTCCTAATAAATGTATAGATTGTAACCTTACAAATATTGTTTCAGAGCACGGTATAGATGCTTCAGCTTTGTAAAACAGACAGGTACTCTTGGAAAATCATTTGTGCTCAGTATTCTGCACAAACATCATTCTTGTGACTTGATCCCTCTTTTAATGTACGCCACTTATGAAAATCTCCTTCTGCAATCTGCTGTCGGAATTACAGCTAGTGTTTGCATTTTTCATAAGCTCCCTTCACTGATGGAAAATATACTCTCTTTAGGTATGGTTCATTGCCTTTGCAGAGACAGTAAAACATATGGATGTAATTTACCTTTTTTTCAGAGGGAAAAAAATGTGCATTCTAGAAAAACTCTAGAATAATATAGGAACTTCAGTTGAATTAAAAAAAACACCCTTCAATCCAGATACTGTATGTGCTCAAATATCATTTAAAGGTAGTTTTGTAAAAATGAAATATTAGATAAGAATATTATATATTTACCAGTGGTAGACAGCAGGGGGCAGACTCAACAAAGTTAAAAGATGACCTTTACCCTAGTTTACAGGTCATATTGCCTTAAATCCTCCCCTCCCCCTCCCTTTCTCACAGGTGTATGTGTGTGTGTGTGTGTGTGTATATATATATATATATATATATATATATATATACATACAGTGAAAGAAATAAGTATTTGATCCCCTGCTGATTTTGAATGTTTGCCCACTCACAAAGAAATGATCAGTCTAAAATCGAATGGTAGGTGTATTGTAACCATCTGAGTCACTGAGAGACAAATAGCAACAAAAAATTCAAAAGAAATGCATGGCTAACAAATTATGCACTGATTTGCATGTTCATGAGGGAAATAAGTATTTGATCCCCTTCATAAAACATAACTTAGTACTTGGTGGCAAATCCTTTGTTGGCAATCACAGAGGTCAGACGTTTCCTGTAGTTGGCCACCAGGTTTGCACACATGTTAGGAGGGATTTTGGCCCACTCCTCTTGGCAGATCGTCTCCAAGTCATTAAGGTTTGGTAGCTGACGTTTGGCAACTTGATCTTTCAGCTCCCTCCACAGATTTTCAATCGGATTAAGGTCTGGAGACTGGCTAGGTCACTCCAGGACCTTAATGTGCTTCTTCTTGAGCCACTCCTTTGTTGTCTTGGCTGTGTGTTTTGGGTCATTGTCATGTTGGAACACCCATCCACGACCCATTTTCAATGCCCTGGCTGAGGGAAGAAGGTTCTCACCCAAGATTTGACGGTACATTGCCCCGTCCATCATCCCTTTGTTGTGGTGCAGTTGTCTTGTCCCCTTAGCAGAAAAACCCCCCAAAGCAGAATGTTTCCACCACCATGTTTGACAGTTGGGAAGGTGTTCTTGGGGTCAAAGGCAGCATTCCTCCTCCTCCTCCTCCAAACACAGCGAGTTGAGTTGATGCCAAAGAGCTCAATTTTGGTCTCATCTGACCACAATACTTTCAACCAGTCCTCCTCTGCATCATTCAGATGTTCAGTGGCAAACTTCAGATGGGCAAGGACATGCGCTTTCTTGAGCAGAGGGACCTTGCGGGCACTGCAGGATTTCAATCCTTGTCGGCATAGTGTGTTACCAATTGTTTTCTTGGTGACTGTGGATCCCGGCTGCCTGAAGATCATTGACAAGATCCTAACGTGTAGTTCTGGAATGATTCCTCACTGTTCTCATGATCATGACACTCCACGAGGTGAGATCTTGCATGGTGCACCAGACCTAGGGAGACTGACAGTTGTTTTGTGTTTCTTGCATGATTGCACCAACTGTTGTCACCTTCTCACCAAGCTGCTTGGCGATAGTTTGGTAGCCCAGTCCAGCCTTGTGTAGATCTACAATCTTGTCCTTGACATCCTTGGACAGCTGTTTGGTCTTTGCCATGGTGGAGAGTTTGTAACCTGATTGTTTGATTGCTCCTGTGGACAGGTGTCTTTTATACAGGTAACAAAATGAAATTAGCAACACTCACTTTAAGAGACTGCTTCTAATCTCAGCTTGTTACCTGTATGAAAGACACCTGGTAGCCATCCTGCAGAATGATAGGGGATCAAATACTTATTTCCCTCATGAACATGCAAATCAGTGCATAATTTGTTAGTTATGCATTTCTTTTGAATTTTTTGTTGCTATTCTGTCTCTCAGTGTTATAATACACCTACCATTCGATTTTTAGACTGATCATTTCTTTGTGAGTGGGCAAACATTCAAAATCATATAAAATATGTGTGTGTGTATGTATGTGTATATATATTGTGGCAGTGCGGTATCCTGCCACGTTCAAAATCCAGTTTATAACCCGGGATTCTCAACCAGACAGATTGAGGGGCTCCAGAGGGTTTATTTGATGCAGAGGAAACTGGCTTTTCAGTTTCCTCATTTATTTGTAAAGTCTGTTTCGGGATCTGGAGCCTGGAGATTTCTAAGTGATCTGGGAGGGATAAAATCTCCAATCCTGGGTCCATGTTTTCTGAACTACCAGCACACTAATGGTACAGGTGTGTGCAGGGCTTTAAATAAGAACCTGACTATGGTTCTGGGCTCCACCCTGGCAGACAGGAGGTCACTGCCTTGGAGTCAGGAGGGCTTCACCTAGGAGAGGTGGAAGCCAGAGTAGCTGTGTGCAAGTGGCTAGCTGTGTGCAAAACAGCCAGTTTGGAAAGAGTCTGCAGGAGGCTGAATATTCTTTGCATTTGTTTGATGGTGGATACCCCTGCGTGGGAAGCATGTTAAGGAACTTTCTTCTTTAAATAAAATTGGGCTAAAAGGCCTTTAAAAAAAGAAGTGAGTTGCTGTGTGCTTTAAAAAGCTCTACCACTTGATGCGAGTTCCCACAAAATATATATATATATATATATATATATATATATATATATATACACTTGCATACCATTGGAGAATTGGTAATATACAGTATGTACCATTTTTAAAGAAAACATGAGTGAGCAAGCAAAACACATTTCTTTTATACCTTATGGGATTCATATTCAGCTCTAGGTCATAAAAGAATGGCACAATCATAAAACAAAACATGGCAACAAGTAAACAAATGAAATGTCCCCTGTTCAAAAGTCTGCATCCCCTTAGTTCTTCATTCTGTGTATTGCCCCTTTTTGTCATCATTGACAGCCTGTAGTCTTTAGTAATAGTTTTATGAGGCCCTGAATTCTTGCAAGTGGTATAGTTGCCCATTCATCTCCTCAGAGTGGCTTGATGATATTAACCGCTTCCTGAGCGCCCTATAGCAGAAATTTCCGGGTAGGCGGTGTGCGCCCTGTATGAGTAGGTTTCCCCAACCATCTGTGCATATGTGGGATTCCCAAGCACAAAGAACCTTTGTGGTCTTTGCACATACACAGAAAATCCCCCGCATGTGCGCAGAAGCTCTGACGGCCTCTGCCAGGATTTGAAGTCTGGGCAGAGCTTTTTGGCACATCTGTGCAGGCACTATAATGGCAGTTTCGGGGAGGGTAATGTAGCAATTCCTCTTTAAGCACAGAGTATTCCTATAAGTAGTAAGCATACAAGTTTGAACAAGGAGAACATGACTGCACACCGGTGCACAAGCAAGGCCCAAAAAGACATGGATGAGCGAGTTTGGGGTGGAGGAACTTGACTGGCCTGCACAGAGTCCTGACCTCAACCCCATAGAACACCTTTGGGATGAATTAGAGTGGAGACTGCAAGCCAGACCTTCTCGTCCGCCATCAGTGCCTGACCTCATAAATGCGCTTCTGGAAGAATGGTCAAACATTCCCATAGACACACTCCTAAACCTTGTGGACAACCTTCCCAGAAGAGTTGAAGCTGTTATAGCTGCAAAGGGTGGGCCAACTCAATATTGAACCCTACGGACTAAGACTGGGATGTCATTAAAGTTCATGTGTGTGTAAAGGCAGGTGGCCGATGCTTTTGGCAATATAGTGTGTGTATGTGACACTTGAACTCTAGGAAACTAGGACACTTTGTTGGGGTTTTAAAGAGGCAAACTGGCCTTTGTCTAAGGGAGCCTGAAATTTGAACACACAGTTGTCAATAGAGGGAGATCATTCGGCATTCCACACATCTGACAACAAGGCCAGAAAAAAGTTGATCCAAATGGCCCATCACACAGAAGCTCGTGGAAAAGTTATCCCTTTGAACTGTACTGCATCGTAATGAAAGTTTCTTGTGTTGTCTGGTGGCAGGTGTGTTGGGGGAACATGGAAGGGCATGTCAGCTGCCTAACTCTTTGCATTCCTCTTACTGCTGTTTGTCTCCTGCAAGTGCTTGAAGCTGAGACAAGCATTGGTTATCAAGCAGCCATCTTGCTAGCTATGTTGTCGGACAGCCACAGGGGAAGGTATGACCTAGTCAGTCTCATAGCTAGGCTTACAAAGCCTGTAGGAACATTAGAGAACAACTTGCTACATGTACTTAGTCTTCTGAGGGACAGAACACTGAAAACAAATTAAAGTGAGCGTTTCTTTAAACCTGAACGCAAGGCAAACAGTTTAGTGGTTGTAAACACTCAATTTTTTTTATGCATGAAGGTAAAAAGCATTCTGTGTGCAGCAGCCAACCCCCCCCCCCCCCCCC